GTGTGTGTGTGTGTGTCTCCACAAAAACAAACAAGTCTAAAGGAACACTCGCGTGGCCTATATCTTGCAGTTCATCAGCAGGCTTTCAACCATTCACTGCAAGAACAATTGCACTAACCAATAGACACACACATGTAAATATGTCAAAGAATACCGCATGTATGTGATGTGTAGGAGCTCCAGTGCTGTTGGCTTGTTAAATCTAATCACAGTTTGGTTTAAATTTAGTTCCAGCTTAATTACATGGCACATAAACCTCAGACCTTGCAGTGCTATTCTGGCACCCAAAAACATATGAATGGTCTTGCTATTACAAGGCCTGTTTAAGGCCTAAACCATAGAAAGTAACCTCTACATTTAAGTTCTACCTTTATTATAAGGAAGCAGTGTCAAACACTTTTTATGTTCCTTTTCTATGTACATTTACCTTAAGATAAAGAATCTGCATCTGTTTTAATGTGGACTCTGACTACAGCTTTAAGCAGACAACTGGTTCCAAAAAAACACACAGTGAGAGTGGGAGAAACTGAGAAGAGCTGTGACTCAACCCTAAACTATTTGACGCAAACATAAACAAAGTCTGCGTGTGTGTGTGTGTAGGCGTGAGTGTTTGTGTGTTTGACATTGATCCAGCAGAGCAGCAGGACACATTCTGCTGTGTCAGGGAAAAAGCTTGTCTCTGTGTTTGCAGTGAACTATTGTAACTCCTCTGTCTCAGTAAGATTCAAACTAAACCCTTACTTAACCTTTCCTCTGACATTAAGAACACACAAACAAATGATTTAAGACATTTTACATATTGGTATTTATTTTCTTCATGTGTCACATTATCTGTGTAATCTTCCAACTTGTTCTTAGTTTAGAAAAAACACTAGCTTTAAATTAAAAACATAGGCAGGTGACCGAAAACATAACAAGTTAAATTGTTTAGTTTTTACAATAGAGTAAAGATAGAGTCTGCAAGGGATGTTTTTATTTATTTTTTTAAACTTGACCATATTCTCTATGCTGTTTCTGTGTCTGACCTCCTGCCACTGATATCTATCTATCTATCTATCTGTGTGAAAGCCTAGAGACAAACACAGCAGGATTGTTAAGCATGTTAATTGAAACCAGACCCAACCTCCTGTCTGTCTCTCATAACAGTGCCTGATCTGACTGAATACAGTATGTATTAGTGTCTTGTGGAGAGACATCCGACAACCCCAAACCCTGGCACTGTAAATGCCTTGCTTTTACAGGAAAGGTTATATCACTAACAGACTCTTTTCTCTGTATCCCCCCCGTCCTCGGTCTCTTGTTTTTCCTCTCTCCCCATCTGTTGTCTCATTTCATTTCTCTCTCTACCTAAATTTCCTTTAAAAGGTATCTTCCATTATTTCTTGTCAGCCTCTTCTTAACCCGTCTCTTCCTTGGTTGAATACACACTAATTTCTCCTTGCTGTTTCTGTATTTTTACCACTGAGCTGTTCTCCCCCTCCCTCTCCCCGTCCTCCCTCTCTCTCAGAGATGGTTTGAGGTCAACCAGCTCACGTGTCTTCGTCTCCTGCTACAGCATGTGGGCTAGAAATTCCACCATCCCACCGTTTCAAATTGCATGTTTCCTGGCTTGAAATGAGCGTGCGCGTGCACACACACAGCCTGACTCCTGCTAAATGGAGCACGCACACATTCTCACATGCATATTATTCACTTACATACACACATTCTCATATGAACACACACACACACACACACACACACACAACAGCATAGACATTATATAAGCAACAACTTGCTAGTTCAAAGGCAGAAGGCATCCAGTCAACAAAACAATGGATTATTACTAAATAAATGCCATTAATTGATTGATCTTTGATATTTGCTGATACAGTGGTCCACCTCTGGTAACACTGACAAACAAGCACTAAGCCATGTCTGACAATCTAACCTTTCAGTGATACTGTTAGCAGGTCTCCACTTTAGCGGTTGAGCCAACATGTCTTTCTTTTGAATCACAGAGAAAAGATCATGGGTGTCTAACTACTGTCACTACCTTAAACTAGTTACCTGGTTGCTTACAATCCGTATGAAAATGATGTTACAGGTATAGCAGTGATCCATATGGGTTAGGGTGTGGCATGCAGGTGAATAGCAGATTAATTGCAAACTGAGCAAGATTGGGATGTTTATTGCAACCTCGGCGATATTTGCTGTCTTCCCTTCGACACACAGCTCTGCTTGCTCACCGAGACAGCTCCAATCTTTGTGGCAAAGTAGCCTTCAGTGATGAAAGGCTATTACCAGTGACATGTAACCAATCAGATAGTGTTGTGGACAGGACATTGATCGAGACTACAGAGTGCTGACTGAGACAGAGAGGGGCAGATACGTCAGAGCGAAAGTAGCATATGTTTAAATGAATTTAACACTACTCCATGATTCAATCCAAACTGTAAGTTTTGTAATCCATTGCACCCCTAAGGTATGGAAACATTACATTCCATTACTTACACCCTGCTAATTTTCACTTCAAAGGTGGGGAAAGCAATTCTGGAAAAAATACAGTACGGCATTTGTATGGCAGTTTGCTAGCAGGTTACTTTCAAGAAACGGTCTTCTCGTCACTAGACTGTGGGGAGTAGGGACTCCCCTAGCCCCTACGTATGCCCCACACACGTGAATATATCAGCAATGAAAACATATTGGTTGTTGGGCTGACCAAGGCCAGTTTAACATATCACCGCACTCTACCAAGCAGTGTACTGAGCCCACGATCATGTGTGTGTCCGTCCGACTGCATCCTCATTCACATAACAAAAGTCAACACTGATTCATGCTGTTTACTGTCTTCAGAGGGTTATCAAGTGGCACCAAGGTCAAGCTCTACAAGTCAGGAAACAAAGACACTTTGTCTAGTGTAGGGTTAAAAAAAATAATAATATTTGTATTACTACACACAGATTTGGGCAGTCTCATTGTAAGTAGAGTATGGAGATTTTCAACAAATGTAATTGGGATGCAGTTTTACTGCACTATTGTTCACTATTACAAAGAATATCCAATAATTATAATGATATTCAAACTGCTGGTAAGCAATGAACTGTTCTACTGCTACACTTACATTTACGTTTTATACACAATTTGCTTGAAATGAATAAAACTTACCAGTATTTTAACATATTAACAATAAAAGATATCACAATTATATTCCACTGTAAGTTAATAAATGACAATATTGAATTATAGCCCAGTCCTGACTGTAATAGCTGATAAGAAAGTAGGTGATTAGGTTCCATGTTGATAAAACAATTCAAACAAATTGTCATGCAATCAATGAACACTAGAAGCTTTATCACACTGATATCAGTGTGAAAGTTAGGATTCTAACACAGAACAGCTTTTTCCTGGTTGCCCAAACACAAAGAAGTATGGAGACAATTTGATCTCTCTCACACACACATACACACACACACACAGCTGTGAAATACTACAGAAAGGTGACACACCATGCTCCACTGGCCTTAAAGGTGCACTATGCGATC